ATGATAAAAACAATACAATGGTCTTTCTCAATGCAGTAGAGAATGCTGTAAAAGTGTGGGATTTTGTCATGTCTGTGAAGAACAGAAGGGAAGGAAACTCTGCAGAGAAGTTCTATATACCTTTACTATACTCAATACCCTTGACCAAAAAAAAGCAACAATGAGAAAGTGTCTCATATCCTTTTTGAATTTTCTATCTTCCTTTCGTAAATATGTGATCACTTGGTAAAGCCCAAGTACAAATTTTGATTGGTAAAGCCTTCTAAATAATAACCAAACCTCTAATGCCTAGTGTGTCCTACATGCTTATCCAGAGGAAGTTACAGATGTGACTTAGGAATGTAGGAGAAAGTGAATCGGCTTATATCCACACAAATTTCAGAGTAAAATTTACAATAATATTTAATAGAAAGAAATGTACTAGGATCTAGGATGACAACTGGAAATCTAATCCACAGACAATATCCAGTCTAATCTTAGTCAACAGAGTCAAATCTTCTTCCTTCAAAACCTTTAACAAAGATGTAAACAAGTAGTAAAACTGACCCATGAAAATGGAATCTCCTTCATATTCCAAGTGTTAGCATAAGAATATGGCTAAAAGACAGGTCCATAATATAGATGCTGGGTTTATTTTCAAGTATGGTCCACTCTAAGTAAACCATATGGATAAGGTGAATTGCTTAAGAGTATGATGAATTTGGAAAGATATTTTTAACTTTAGTAGTTTTAAGTGCTTGGTCAAAGGAGCAGATGGAAATAAACACAGCTATTTAATTGCTTACTTTCATATAAAAAATTCCAAGAAGTTAATGTGTATTTGTTTGTTTTTTAATTTCCATCTTCCCAGTCCCCAAAAGACCAAGAATTGAACGACAACCAGAGCTTCTGGTTCCTGGAACACGTTACAGATTTATTCTCATGAGGTAGGTTTGTCTCTATGTTACTAGGTGGAAATCTGGGCACCAAGTAGTTAAGTGAACTTCTCAGAGTCACCCTAGAAATGATTAACAGCAAAACCAAGGCAAATATCCAAGACTTTTTACTGGTCTGTATTGATACCTTTAGTCCAAATTGTTATCTACTTATCAACCTGCCATGAAGAATCTGAACCAGCATAAAACCAACACAGTTCTTTGGACCTGTCTCTGGTATTGAGAATGGAATGAGATGTGAGACGGAAACCAAGACTATTTACAGCTTTATGTTACAGACATTGGCAGCATTAACTTTAGGTAATACAAAGGTATAATATCCAGTATTTTTCCTCTGATAACTGTGATGGGTGTATCTTTTGAGCCTGCACTGGCCAGCTTAGTCTAATACAAAGGCTTGGCCCTTCTCTTCTCAACCATTCCTACCCTATTAACAGAAGAAAGGGTCTCTCCTCTGACCACCAGTAAAGATCTCTGAGGACTCTTGCTGCACTTTAGAAAACTGAAAAGGACTGCTGGCTTACACTAGACTTTTAATGGACTTGGAATAACTCCAATACAAAGGGAAACAAAATTCAAGGTGAAGTTTTACAATAATAATTAATAAAAAGCTATGTACAAGGATGAAAACTGGAAATATAATCTGAAACAGTTATAATAGTATCAATAAAATTCTAAGACTATTTCCTTTTTAGTTCCTTGAAAAATTTTTAAAAGAATCTAACCAATGGTATAGTTCTGTTATTTCATAAGGAAAGCTCTTATATCTCTTATTTCACAGATAAAGGGGAGCACTTATGATGACCACTTTCTGTGTTAGAGAATAACTTTGTAATAGTTCAGGTTGATTTGAGGCCCCTCTTTTATCATGAGTGAATCAATAAATATGCTTAATTACAAAATATTTGTTGTAAACAGACATAGCCTGTGACGTGAAAGATACACACTTATACCCGATTTTAAAATTTAACTCGCTCCTTGCTTCTTCTCCCAGTTTTTGGGAAAGCCTATAATGACAGAGCAGCAGTCTTCAGGAAATACCAGAGAATTATTTCTACATGTCTCCAGAGAGAATAGAACAATAGTGGTGGGTGTCAAAGGACAAAGATTCTTGGCTTTACTCTTCCCTTTTTTTTTTGTTCTAAGAAGCCATCATCTTAAAAACAAAAAGTCTTGTTTACAGGTTTCATCAACTGATAAGCATTGAGAAGTAAAACAAAGTACAATAATCTCAGTTTGATAACCTTATGAATTCAGATTTCAAAACAAATATTTGAGACAACATTAAGCAAATCATCCATATTGGTACATTCAAGTGCCATAAAGAGCAAGCTACATGCAAGATTTCATTAATATTGAGGTAAAAAATAATAGGTTAGGCATCTGAGTTGTGTTGTGAAGAGAGAGCACACTCATATTTACTTCAGGGAAGCCTTAAAGATCAACATGCAAACAGAGGACACATACTCGTCACAATAGATCTTTAGTTCACAAGACCATGGATTAAAAACAACTGATTTCAAGACAAATATAAGAATAAACAGGTCTGAAGTCTATCAGGAAAACAAAATATATCGATATATATTTTAAGCTTATAATGGCTAAATATTGCTTCTAGCGATATAATGACTTAAGTTATAAAGAAGTAACACAGTATTTTAATTCAAGGAAGGGTATGTTTATGTACAGATCTTGAATAACTCTGTATTCCAGGACTTTTAAAGATGGGCAGAGTAGTCCGGGAAATTCAGCCCTGGCTGGAGGCTAAGGGGCACCAGCACCATTTTCCTTAAACCATCAACATTCTACTTGTGAAAAGATGGCATTGAACCTTTGCAGATCTCTTCTATACATTAGGCAGGATAAAGTTGTTTGTCCTATACATCTCAGATATACACATAAGAAGGCCACAGAAGTCAAAAGCCCTTTTCCAAAAAAGGCCTTTGTATAACTGGTTTGATATCTCAAGAAAAGGAGTGGTTATGGATACACAGATTAAAACGCATCATTTTAAGGCTTTTGAAAGGATAGCAAGTTGAATTTTTTTCTTAAACTACAGAGCCCATGCCACACAAATGACTACAGAAGATTAGGAAAATATTCCATCAAATGTTTCTACAGAGTATCTTGCTTTGTGTGAAACATGGAGAGGAGGACATAGCAACGGTAAACAATAGGAACATGCAGGATAAAAGAGTTACAGCTTTGGGGAAAGTACCAACCTGCCATATGCTTAAATCTAAATGTGTTAAACTTCAATGAGGAAAGCTGGCTTGGGCAATCCATTGCTACTCCTTTGTAGCCCATGATACATATTCTACAAAGAGACATTTTATTGACAGAAAAGTGATCACAAGAGCTCCCCTAGGACAGTGAACTATCACGATTAAAGGGCATCACACAGGAGGTAACACAGTAGAAGCCAACGACAAAAGTTCAAGGGTTTTAGTCTTGACATTTCAGATGAGCACCCTGTTTTCCGATCACAGAAAGACCAACCACCAAATAGCCAATGCAAGAACCACAAGAAAAGACATCATGAAAGGAATACGAGGATATAGAAAATTACTAGAGTAGAGGCGGCACTTTTTGAGAGACTTGTGATCCTCAGGGATTGGAATAGAAACCTTGGGAAGAATTTCTTCATTTTCTTGCTGGGGCAAGGCTCTTTCAGTAGATCTCTCTTGCCTTTTAATTGTCTCTTCATCCTGCACTAACAGAGCACGTTCCTGTGTCTGCTTTCACGGTAGAAGATCAAGAAAGACAGAGAAAGATGAACAAAATGACAGATGGAAAATGCTCAAAAATGATACTTGGGGATGTGCAAAGGATTTGGGAAGATCTTTTGGACGCTCTTTTTTTACTTTGGCAATTTATCCTGGCGAAGCTTCTATAATACACACAGTAGGGAACCCAATGGATAATTTTTTGAATGAATGAACATTAAAAGTCCTGAAAGTTCAAGGAATCATTGGGCTTCCTTAGTTATAGTATTTATTCCTCCTTCGAGGATATTCACATATGAATTTTGGGTCATTTTTCATTGCTTTGGGCTGCCAATTTTTCTTAGATCAATTGGGCAAAGCCAATAATGAAGCATTCTTCTTGCCATCAGAAAAGTTACTTTTATTACAAATAGAATGGCAGAATATAAAAAGTTATCCTCATATCTTTTCATATAGACTTAAAAAACTTCAACAGTTCATTCAGTATGGCAGTTAGCTTTTGCTCAAGGGAATAAAAATCTTAATCCTATACATTTTAAAGATTGCAAAAGAAAAACAAAAGTATAAAAGTTTATATGTGCCTCCAAGGTCTACCAAACCCCCGCCCCCCAAACCCACAAATCTCAACAATTGCAAACTCCCTCCCCTTCTCTCTCAGAATCATGATTAAAACTAATAATAACGACCATCATGAAGGTTTATATATCACATTAAGCAAATATTTTTGACACTTTTAAGGAAAGCTATTTTTTTCCCAATTGTCCAATTGAGAAGTTTTTCTCCCCCCACAATTTCTGTACTCTGCCATCCAGTCATAACAGATGTCATCTATGAAAGGAAAAACTTGGCTCTGAGTTCTCTCAGTTGAGCCAGCCTTCTCTGATCAGTTTGGAAGTTCAGCACTGGTTCTTTGCACACCCCTAAGTGATATGTATCAGGGAGAAAGTAGCTGGGGGACTGGTCAGCAAAAAAGAAAAAAGGAAAAGAAAGGATGCAAAATTATAATGATTTTTAAAAGAAAATAAAGAGGAGAAGAAAGACAACATAAAAAGAATAGGGTACAATTAAATTCATTTTCTCTCCGAATACATATTTACATCTTCATGCAGCTTTTCAACCAGCCATGCGCCGAAATAAGCAAACTGACAGCTGCAAAAGCTGCAGCAGTGAAAATGTTATGTGTTAGGTCAGAAGGCGGTGAGCGTGAATTTACTAGTATAGCCAAAAGAAAAAAAAATTACTCAGCGGCTGCTGTTCAGTTCTGGGGGGATTATCTGCTTAAGTGCCATGACAAGAGCACGTTCTGATTGAGAAGCACAAGTCATAACGGCAGCTTTACCTCTGGCCCACCAACCTTTCTTTCCGAGGGAAGGACAGAGGTTTTCTTCACCTGGTCATACACAAATTATATAAAATTCAGTTGCCTTGCAATGCAACAACAATGCTGTCAAAGGTGGAAGAGGTATCCCCAGAGAACAGAAATATTGTCCTAATTATTAAATAAAAAGTAAAATATGCCAGAAAGTGGAATTATCCTATACAAAAAAAGGTTATCACAGTACAGTTCTCATTTATTCCATTATTCATTTAGAGGGGTAATATACATAAGCATAGAGCTAAAGTTGCTCAAGTACTCCCCACTGATCTAATTTAATTTAATTTATAAAAAGTCATTTCTTTAAAGTCCACAGAATGACATAGCCGTTCCCCAAACCAGCCCTGAGATGGTTTCTGAAGGGTTTCTATTAAGATAAGATATTTTCTGGAAATGGAGACTGATTCAAATTTACCAAACCTCATCCAAGAGAGTACTAAGTTACTTTTCCAAAGTTGTTGAGCATCGTTTACTACTTGCACAGAGTCAAAAAGAAAACTTCTAGAAAATATGCAGTTATGGTATGCAGATAAGGTTAACCAGGAGAGAGAGCAACACGGCATTTTCTCATGGAGTCAAAGACTTATAGAAAACAGAGTCACTGTCTCAGTTCAGGGTACATTCTCTGGATTTAGAATACAGAACTAATGTCCATTCATATCAGGGAATGGAGGCTGAGAGGACAGTGAAGAGGAACAACTGCACCCTGTCATCCCTGGTAACTATTTAGCTGCCCATCACTCAGCTCCAGCCTTACTTGGTGAAACTGGTTCAGCTCTATTTGGAGAACTGTTAGCCAATTTTAACCACATTTTGAAAAACATAAAAACTACTCTTCGTGTACCAACTTTTATTATCTTCTCCAGTTCCAGAAACTAAACAATAAGTTGGATAATTTACCATGAATTCTGAATATGAAAACAAGTTTTTTAATTATTAAGACATCACTTTGCCTTTCTTAACTAGAATGGCTACTGCTTTGGGGGAAAAACAAGCATATAATTTTAAAACCATTACAATCCCTCATTGAGTCATTGTGACTTTTTATATAAATATTTTACCTGTATAGGCTAAAGATTAAGTAAATAATCTTTAAATATAAGTTCAAGGTAACGTTTAAGATATTCTCATTACATAGATTCAATTTATTCAGGTGTTAAGATTTCTAAAATAGGTAATGACAATAACAATAGAAAAAGAACAGCTTCTGAAAGGTATCCCTGGCTTTCTCTAAATGTGACTATCTTATAAAACAGTGTATTAAAAGCTTGATGTTACTCATAAAGATAAAATAAATCGTCAATAGTTTTTGTAAAATTGAAATGCAATCATTAATACTTGGTGTTTTGCATTCTCTGGCTTAGGGGCCTTCTTGGTTTATTATATAATTGTGGTCAACCATTCCAGACATTTCTAAGTCGTGCAAATGTTCAAATAAAGTTTTAAAAAAATGCTTATCCCTTTCCAGTTTTGACCTTACTAAATTTAGTAAACTCTCTGGTCCTTGAAGGCACAGTTTGAACATAAAGTTCCACTGGCTTATGGTCAATTCGTAAACACACACTAGCCAGAAGCATGCAGCTGCAGACAGTTCTCAGAGCCTGATCATCTCTGGTACCTCTAAATGGCTCCCATAATTGGACTGGGTAGCCCATATAAATTAAAAAACAAGTGTTTGATTATGAATGCCTTAAAGCTGCAACGAATTGGTGAGGCACCAAAGTTAAATTTCAGCTCTAAACTTGCTCTCAGATACAGAATATTAACATACAAACACATTTATTTCACACATTCTCACACCTGGTGACATGGACAAAGTACTCACTCCTTCTCCTGTGGGGATTTGGCCATTGATATTAGGTGTTCGGAAGGGGGAGTGAGTGGATAAGCGTTTATCCCATTCACTAGGTCGTGGTTCTGGTACAGACTCCATGAAGTTCTTTTTCAGCTCACTGATGCTGGCATGATGTTTTTTGATCTCTTCTTGACTTTTATCTAAATCCTACAGTTGAAAGGACAAAGATGCAAAACAATAAATGCTCAGGGAAAAAAAACACACCAAGGGAAGCCCATCTCAGACTATGGGCACTGGTAGAAAACACACCACATCCAGGATAGATATTACTAATCCATAAATTGCATTCAAGTTGTAAATATACAACATGGTATATTTGCTTGCTTCTTTTTTTTTTTTAAACAAAGTGCTTTTCTTGGAAGCAGTGAAGCATCATAACCCCATAGCTCTTAGCAGTTAGATAACCCACAAAGAGCTCACTCCTTAATTTTACAACTCTTCTTCCCACTATGACACAGCGCTAGATCTCCAGCTCCTCATCCCAAGAAGGTAATCCCACAATGCACTTTAGCCTCAGCTTAACGTGAACTGATTTAGGCTCAGCTCAGGCAGGATGGAGATAGCAATAGATAAGGAGAAACTGTTAAATGCAGGACATGGTGAAAGATTCAACTCCCACCACCGGCTGCCTTGCCTTGGTGGGTTAGAATCATCAAGTGTCCTTCTATATCTGCCTAGAGATAGTTTTGCTTCCCTATTACCAGGTGGCTGTTGGTTTTTAGTAAACAGGAATAGACCTTTCTTGATGTAAGAATTTATTACTGAAATTCCAGGCTCAAGTCTCCAGGGCAGATTGTTACTGTCTCTGAATAATTACTCAGGGGAACGTAATACAATGGCTTTTTTTCTTTGCCAATACTATTTACACAAACTAAAAGTCTTACACTTTCCAGCTTCTGACAACTTCACTTCATCCCTTACTACAATTCAAAATAGGGACCTTCTCCCAATAACCTTCAATGGATTGGGAGTGATTTAATAAGAGTTCGTCAAATACCTTCTATATCTCCTTGACAATTTAAAATAACTCAACTGATCCAGCAGATTTGAATACTGAACAACTAGGGGTAAGCTCTTAAAGAGGATATTCCAGACAGAAATGATCAAAACTAAGGTTAATAAAGCTAGAAACAATATGAGAAATAATATTCAGGTTCATATAACAGGAAGTATATAACAACTTTCAAAAGGGAAACTTGGCCAGAAATAATCTGGGAACTACAACTTGAAGACAAAAACTCAAATGTTCTTTGTCCAATGTACTGCTCCAAAAAAACTCAAAAGATCTGTGCTTGAGATCAAATATGTGGGAGCTCATCACTTGATGACTGCTAAAATTTCTGTGTTTATTATATATTAAGGCAGCTCTGTATCCAAGAAAAGCATAGTACTAAATATATCTCCAAATACGCTGTGTGAATTTTGGGATTAGCCTTTCTTTTTTTTTGGCTCCGTGGGAAACAGCCTCATTTTGAAAAAAAAAAATTGGAACTCATTTAAATAAAAATTTGTTTAAAAAGTTTTTTCTGGGGCAGTATAGGCTTCATTAAAGAAAATTTTTCAAAAGCAATGTCAAAGGGAAAATGGCATAGGAAAAAGAATCAGTGAGGCACATGAAACAATTTTGATTATGGAGATATTCATTTAATCGTCTATTCTTTTTATTTTTGCAAGACTGAACCACGTATATTTGCTTTGAGATCAGTCAAAGAGAAAACTAACCCAAAGAGGGCAATCCTGTAGCTCCCCCATAAGGGTACCTCTTGCTTGCTAGGATGAAATGTGAGGATAGCTCATGAACATGGGCTTCGCTATGGGGGAAACAACAGTTTGCACTTTTGTTCCAGCTGAAAACAAGAAAAGTATGTTTACTAGCTAAAGAAAAGCATGAATAAGCTCGGTTAAAGACTCCATTGTAGGCTGAGCAACTGAGACCCACCAGGCATGTAAGGCCCTGTGACCCAGCTTCTGACAAAAGTAAATCTGCTTGGGCCAAGAACAACTTAACACAGTTGGGAGAGTTAAAAGCATAAATGGAGCCAAACAACAATGAGCAAGAGATGCCATGGAAAAATCATAACTCTCTGGGTTAGCCTCTTAATATAAGAGGCTGCTGATTTGTTACTCTTCTTGCCTAGTTTTTGATTGGCTTGGAACCTGAGACAACAAATGTTTCAATAAAATTAGTAGCTTCTGAGGGAGCTTTCTCCATCTTTCTTAGCTGGCTCTGTTGGAAACCTGTGGTGGCACAGAGTAAAATTAAGATCTCAAAGGGACCTGTTCTAAATAGAATTTGTCACAGACACTTGCTACAGGTTCCCCTTGGGAGATAGAGGAGGAGGCGGTAGATCTAAAAATGAACTCAATCTTATTTGTGCCAGAACAAAGCATTAGTGGGGGTGAGGTAGGAGTAGGGGGAGGAAGGAATGCTTAAAAAAAAAAAAGAAAAAAAAAAAAAAAACCTGCTAGAGTGACAGATAACTTGAGAGAACTTCCTTAGGGGGAAAAAAAACTTTTTACAATAACTAGAGAATGATGGTTAGCCAAATTGCTTTGGCTGTTTTCAGGTTAGACACTTTTTGATGCCTATCATCTTATAATTTTAGCAGCAATCAAACCAAACACTTCATTAAATATAAAATATTCTCAAAAGGTAGTTAGTTAATTTTCAAACACACTTATTTAGAAATCCCCTCTCACGGCTGTCAATCAAATGCTGGGAAAAAACACATCACACACAGGGACTTTGTGAGTCTCAGAAGCCATAACACACCTCATGGAACAAATGACAAATATATGATTGGTCCTGCAGGTTCCAGGTAAGAGGAAGCACTAAAGATGGACTAGTCAAGAAATAGGCATGTTTGGAATTGGGAGATGTCACACTGCTGAGTACAAGGAGATCAACTGACATTTGTTATTCTTCCTAATCTCAGAAGCAGAAACATTCAGGTTATGGCTAAGGCAAAGAGATCTAGTTGCCAAGTTTGAAATATCCTAGGGTCCAGGCTTAGAAAACCTCATGTTACATAAGGAAAATGTATATAAAGCACTGTTATTGTGCCCACCACACAGTACATGATCAATGGAGGCTGGCCATAATTTTTATTACTTTTATTAAAGTATCTTATACAGAGCAGGCACTCAAAATATGTGTATTGACAAAGAATAAGATGAGGTTAGGTAATTATTAGAGGCCATTTTATTAAACCAGAGATCTATCTAAAAAAGCTTCTTCAAACTTCTAGTTTAATAATCTTTACCACATTTAATATGTGTTCATCTTTCAGGTCTCAGCTAAAATGTTACCTATTCAGAGAGAACTTCCCTGTCCATCTGATTTAGAGTGGATCCCTTTTATTAGCACAGCATACTGTTTATTTCCTTGATAGCTTTTATATAACTTGTAATCTTTTTATTGCTATTTGTTTACTTGTTGCTTTTATATAACTTGTAATCTTTTTATTGCTATTTGTTTACTTGTTTATTTTTTCTCTCCTCCCCACTTCCTCACCTTGAAAGCTTCCTGAAGGAAGGCAAGAACCATGTTTAGCATCTTCCTTTATATTTCCTCTACATTTAAGTTAAATCCCTGATGTCAGAGTTTATACCCATTTCTTCAGGCTCTGTCTTGAGTGGAACTATAAGATAATTAGGTCACCAGCTTCTATATAAGAGTTCTTCTGATGTGTTAACTAACATGGACTCAAGTTTTTTCCAAACAGAATAAGTCCAGTTTCCTTAATTTTTCTTCATAGAGTTCCCTCAATCTTCTAATTAGTTTTATATTTACCTCTCCAATGTGGAGCCCAAAACTAGATAAGTATACTAATATAGGTCTGGTAAAAATCTGACCAATGTTGAATATAATAGGAAAACGACCTTACAATTCCTATAGCAGACAATATGTTGCTATTTCTGAACGGAAAAAAGTATTAATAGAGTTAGAAAGACCCTAACTCAAATCCTAGCTTTACCAATTTACCAGCTCTGTGACCATAACTTAATTTTTCTAAGCCTCAATTTTCTCATCTTTAAAATAATAATCCCACATCCACAGGCCTGTTTTCATGATTAAACTATCTTATATCACACTAACTATGCATTAAATGCTAGGCTCCCTTCTTTCCTTCCCGTATATTACTTTTTTTGTTTTCCTGACTGCTCTTCTGTCATTTTCTAGTATCCCCCAAATTTTAAGTTTATTTTGAATTGTGATCATTTCTTCTACACTTTCTTGCTTCAGAAGATGAAAATATTGTACAAATTTGATGCTTGGGACATATAGGAGTTTATACTCTTGGAAAATTCAAGGAACTTTTAACAGTGATGTAGAACTTTCTAAAAGTGGGTAAAACAATGGAACCATGAGAGGCAGAGGTGTCCCAATCATATATTTTTTAGATAAGTATGAGAGATGAAAACTAAAGAGTCAGAAGGAGAGATGGTTGCATATCTTCATGTTTACCAACATGCAAAAGCATTTTAAACCTAAATTCTCTCATGCAAGGGCATGCAAAACCAAACGCAGCATAGAAAGAAGATAGGGGGATCAGCAAAGAATGCAGAAGGTTGCAGGCAACCAACTGAAATAAGCTTCAAGTTCATACAAACCTCCAACATTAAATTGCTATGTCTGATATAAATGTTTTCACCATCTAGTCTCTCTCTCTTTTTCTGTGAAAATGAAAGAGGGAAAAACAGAAAAGCATAAAAAATTAAAATGTTGTTCTTGCGGGAAAAAACTGCAAATTGGCAAACCAAAAAAATATTTAAAATTAAATGTCCACAGCGCAGCATATGCCAACACGAAATGGTCACAGAACCACAAGGACACACAGAGAACATGATTACCACTAGAAAATGGATGACCTTGTTCATGAACGATGGAAGGATGTGATGATGTTATTTAAATAGACAGTGCTCCTGGCTTCATTGGCTTCTTACGTAACAAGCTGTTTTATGTTCATTTTGTAAATTGAGCTGTTGGAGAGTTATCTTAAAATACATGACTTTAAGAAGCTTTGAAACTCCATGTCCCATGGAGTAATGTTTTAAAACATTATTTAGCTTTTTGGACATATTTCATACTTGGTAATACTGCAGTATATATATCTCTAATATCTTTCATAAGAAAGATCTAAGGGCATTTTATACATGATCAGTCAGTAACCTATTCGGTAAGAACTGATTCATCCCACTCTACAGTTGGGAAGAACAAGGCAGAGCAGCCAAACCCATAGTTACTAACAATACTGGGAGTTGCTGCTATGATGGTTTCCATAATAAATATGTATAAAATATTGTGAAAGATTCCAAGAAATATGGTGCTATTGTGAAATATTTCTTATAAAGCTTAAATATATATATAGAGGATAGGTTTGGCCTTCACTAATTATTTCATTGTGTTTAAAAAGATATTTTCCTTCTGGAAAGTTTACTTTAATGAAACTTTTCAATACATAGTACAGGATTATAATTTCTTTGGTATACGTGTGTATGTGTATATGCCTATATGTATATACACATGCATATATATGTATATCTGCTATTTGAAAGTAGTTTCTGATTGAGAGAAATCAATGAAAAGAATGGATCACTGTCTTTTTAATGCACTGTAAAAGTCAGCATGGGTGATGGTAATGTAGTTTTGTGAAAGAAAAATGGCTAACCTTCCTCATTCTTATCAGATCTTCAGTTTTTTCTGCAAGCTTCTGTTTTGCCATTATTAAAAAAGAAAAGAAAAATGACAAAATATTGGCTCATTGAAGTTTGTTTGAACCTTCATTTTATAATTTTTTTTAAGGAGAAGGGAGTGGGGGAGAAGAAAAAATTGAGGAGGGGAGAGGAAAAGGAACAAGTGGTCTGTTGGCACAAACCTGTGTTTGGTCACCATTTGAGGTAGGTACTGTGACCTCGATGTGGGTTTTTTCCACCTACATTTAAGAAATAAAGTGGTAAAAACATTTTAGGTTAGTACGTTTCTATGAATGGTGTTGTTTCCAAATAAGCCGCATCTTGAAGCTGGTTGTGAAATAAGCTGATATGTAATCATCAGGATGCAGTCTCATAGCGGGTAGTACAGGGAAGGATACTACTTTCAACAGCAATCTGTCAGTTTACCACCACATTTTCAAGGCTGAAGAGGTATATGGACAGCCAAATGATCAAAAAAGAAAATTAAAGTAATTATTCTATTGATGAAAAAAAACATTTTTATATTTATTTATTAAAAAGTACTTATTAAAAATAATAATTTAGGGCTGGCCCGGTGGCATAGTGGTTAAGTTCACATGCTGCGCTTTGGCCTGGGGTTTGCAGGTTCGGATCCTTCGTGAGGACCGACGCGCTGCTTGTCAAGCCATGCTGAGGCAGCATCCTATATAAAGCAGAGGAAAATGGGCACAGATGTTAGCCCAGGGCCAGTCTTCCTCAGCAAAAAATAAATAAATAAATAATATTAATATAATAATTTAGGCTTAAATAAGCCATATGTTTTTGTTTTGCTTTTTTTTAATGTTCTACATTAAATAACATTTATTTTTTTTTTAAAGATTTTATTTATTTTATTTTTTCCCCCCAAAGCCCCAGTGGATAGTTGTATGTCGCAGCTGCACATCCTTCTAGTTGCTGTATGCGGGACTCGGCCTCAGGATGAACGGAGAAGCGGTGCCTCAATGCGCACCCGGGATCCGAACCCGGGCCACCAGCATCGCAGCGCGCGCACTTAACCACCAAGCCACAGGGCCGGCCCTAAATAACATTTAAAAACAAACTTACAAATGAAGATATCAATGTATGACATACATGTTAGAAACAAAGAGAAAGGATTTACAGTTAAAGCACACACATAATAAACCACATACGACACCAAGCAGGTAAATACAAAAAATTTTGTTAGTTGATCAAGATATTTAAGGAGGCAGTTTCCCCTTTGAGTTTATTAGACAACAAAACATCAAAATAAACTCAATCCAAGTTGTTACTGACGCATGCAATTACTTCCAAGGCTGATCTATAAATAAGCATACACAGGGCTCAGCTGCAACATTCAACGCACTGTAACCTCCTCTCTAGGGGGCTGGAGCCCATGTGTTTGGTAAACAGACAAGATTCATCCTTAATAGTAGGAAGAGAATAACAAAGGCCTCCTGCCTAGCTTTGAAATACTTTTAGTAATAGTCATTTTATATACCCAAAATGGAATAAGTATAAATTTTAAAAAAACCCAGACAGACTATTAAGAGGAAGCATAATAGAGAGAGCAATGCCTAAAGCACTGGATATTTCCAAAGTAGAAAACTTTGATTAAGGGTCAAATCAATCATTTTCTATCATTAAGGTCTTTACAGAACCTCATCAGCCTGTAGTTTTGACACATTCTTTTTTTTTTTTTAATTTTTATTTTATTTATTTTTCCCCCCAAAGTCCCAGTAGATAGTTGTATGTCATAGCTGCACATCCTTCTAGTTGCTGTATGTGGGACGCGGCCTCAGCATGGCCGGAGAAGCGGTGCGTCGGTGCGCGCCCGGGATCCAAACCCAGGCCGCCAGCTGCGGAGCGCGCGCACTTAACCGCTAAGCCATGGGGCCGGCCCTGACACATTCTTTTTAATCACACTTGCCAGCATTACTTCAGACTACAATGGCATTGTGCTATTTTCTCTAGGACTGAATGTAAAGAACATAAGATAATACCAAATTTTGTGACACTGTCAAATCATAAGCACATCCAGCTACAGCACTTTTAACTACCAGGGGCAATTAACAATTTGGGTCATTTCTACTCTGAACCCCAGTATACTTGCTGTGGCCATTAGCAAGTTATTTCACCTCTGAGTTTAAGGTTTTTGTTGATAAAATGGAAATAATATCTTCACAGGATTGTGAATGCTTAGCAAATGATAGTTTTTAATTATTTTGTAAAGCTTAAATTACTTGTTTAAGTGAATAATGACTTTCTGTTTTGGGTCCTTAGCAATCCAACCACAAGAAATTGAGAGCCTCTACTTCAGTCTAAGAATGGACGCCAAGTAGCAACACTAGTGCTATGTGTGCCCCTATACAGAACATTAAATGAGATAAAGATGTACATGGGGAGAGGCATTATCTCCACACCTGAAAAATAGGTCTTGTCAAATGACTCAAGATGTCAAAAAGCTATCACCATCTGGCACCAAATTAGTGCTAGAAAATGAAATTTACACAGTTACAAGGCTACTTTATTATTGCTGTTGCTTTATATAATAAATATGGCTTCAGGTAAATTCCATAATTATTTTCGAAGTGCTACAAATAAAATCAACTCAGCCACCCTTAATTCTGTCATTACTATTATAGTAATAAAAGTTATCAGAGGTGGCTCTCAGTCTGATCTTAACACAAATATCTCGAAACATACGTTTATACAAAATTAATCGACAGGAAGACCCCCCTACTGGCACTTAAATGGGGAGCATATACCAGGAAGTGATCTCTCCACTCTGCAGAGGTCCCAAGAACCAAGGGAACCTATTCTTGAAGATACTTGTAGCTGCCTTAGGGGCGAAAAAACAAGTAAGTTAGCAGAAAGCCAAAGGAATCTTAGTCACTCAAAAAGACTTCCTTGTTAACTCCAATAATCCAACAGTTTCCAGTTAGTATAACAAATGGAGAGAGAGTCAAAAATGCCAGGTAAGAGATCCTGACATTAAAAACTGAGGTAGTCTAACATGAAAAAGGCTCTGTTTATACTGAACCTATTGGCCAATGTCACACGCATTTGGCTAGGTACAGAAACGCAAACGCCCACCATTCACTCAATTTCTTTTTCTCTCTGGGACTCAAGGTGGTCTCAAAGGACGGTAAAATGTCATATTGAACAGTTGTTTTAATACAGTCAAAACACAGCCAGATTGGCCACTGCTCTAGACAAACTAGATATGGAACTGGCTCCAAAAGAACAGGATTAATCCATCTGCCAAGGTGCGAGCACTTAGTAAGGTCTTATATGGTTTTAAATTTCTTAACAGACATATAAAAATGTAATTTTCCTTATACAGACTGCTTCTGTTAATTCCCGTTGTCAAGAGTGAGACCTGTATTTACTTCAATAAATCTGAACTAACTCCTCAACTTCATCACTGCTTACAAGTGTTTAAAAAGCTTACCAGCACATAAAAGATCAGTCCAGTTACTATTACCCCTGGGAAATCTGCTAATTAATTGCTGATTTTTCAATAACGTTCAAGGACTGTGGGTACAATCAACTCAGAGCTGTAAGCAACTAAGTAGCACAACCTCTTTTACATAAGGGAGCTCCTCTTTTTTGTAAAGCTACTTAAGATTTGAACAACCACATAGATGTGCTTTATGTAATACCTGGATATTCTTTGAGTATGTTGCACACATATTCATCTTAGGAAATCAAATTATATTTTAATCACACTAGCAGAGCTTATTCTTAAAAAGGAATGTGGAGATTCCCCCTGGATCAGTAAAACTTATTGTTAAAAGTAGGTGATCACAGTGCTGGTGTGTTTTATAGACTCCTTTTTTCAGATATAAGTTGAGTAAAGGCGTGGGTCACCTGAAAACTTCTGGGATAGCTTACAGTCTTCATGACATAATTCTATGAAAATATTTTATAGGTTCATGGGAGATACCTTCTTTCAGAAAGAGTGAGGAAGAAATAACTTTGTTAGGATTCTACAAGAATCAATGCTTTGAAACCTTCCTGGTCAAGGAGTTAACACCTGTAAACCAGAAAGTGAATTAGCTAGATGTCTGGATTCACGACATACCTTCCACACTTCCGTGGGCTCTGCCTCAGCTTGCTCAGGTGGCACTTCTTCCCTTTTCACTTCAACCTCCACTTCCTTCTGTGCTTTAGAAACTACTGTTTTTTTGCCAGGTGCACCTGGGACGCTGCCTTCTGGGACTTGACTCTCAGCAATGGCTGGTGCAGAGGTGGGCCGAGGACTTCGGTCTGCTGAATCGACACCCGCTGCTATGTGAGACAGGGAAAGGGAAGAATAAGTGAGGGCAAGAGTCACTTTACTACTTCAAAGTCACCAGGTGAATTAATTGTGAATCCAGGACACATATGAGTGTTACAGCGTCCAGTGGGCTATCATACAGATGGTGAAAAATAAATCTTTAGTGCTCTGCCAGGTAACTGACGGCAATACGCAAGCCAAAAGTACCTTCAATAGAAAAGCAAAAATGTGCTGACGATCATGCCCCATAAAGGTGGTAGTGGGGGCATCAAAATAAGAAATTGAAAATTCATTTTATTAAAAAGTTAGCAAGATTGTTTAACCTTGTAATCTGTTAGTTTCAAGAACCTGCAATGTAGTCTATGAAGGAAAAAAAAGGTTAAGTCAGTCTGATTTCTTCCATGAAGTCTTTCTGAAATAAAGATCCATTTATTTATAGGTGATGTCAGGAACCTAAAAATATATTTTAGGAAAAAAGAATTAAGTTTGATTTCTTCTGTGAAGCCTCCTTGGAATGGTTACAAAATACCTTGATAAATGGATCTTTTGATAAGACATGTACACTTTTTGGAGCTTGTTTAAGGGCAAGTCTTTGAACTAGATGCTTTCCTTTTTAATAAGTCATTTGATCAAAATAATACAAATTCAAAACCTTTGGCCTTTAATCCTTAAAAAACAACAACCTTTTGAGTTCTGTCCTGCCTTCTCCCAGAGTCTTATCAATTTGTATTATAGCTCCTATTCTCTAATATACTTAGGGCAGCTGTTCTCAGCCAGGGGTGATTTTGTCCCCCTGAGAACATCTGGCAATGTCTGGAGACATTTTTGGTTGTCACAACTGGGAAGAGAAGTGGGAAGGGCTACTGGCATCTAGTGTGTACAGGCCAACGTTGCTGAGGTTAAGAAACCTTGATTTAGGGAAAAGGCTATATATAGACTATTTTAGAGAGAATATACAATATAGGCTTATGACAAAAGAATGATCTTTTCACAGAGTTAATAGTTGTTTTGCTTTGGACTATTGGGCATCTAAGTTTCAGATCGCTTACTTCAGAACAATCAGTCAGGGCCAGCCCTGTGGCTTAGCGGTTAAGTGCGCGCACTCCGCTACTGGCACCCGGGTTCGGATCCCGGGCGCGCACCGACGCACCGCTTCTCCGGCCATGCTGAGGCCACGTCCCACATACAGCAACTAGAAGGATGTGAAACTATGATACACAACTATCTACTGGGACTTTGGGGAGGAAAAAAAAAAAAGGAGGCAGATTGGCAACAGATGTTAGCTCAGAGCCAGTCTTCCTCAGCAAAAAGAGGAGGATTAGCATGGATGTTAGCTCAGGGCTGATCTTCCTCACAAAAAAACAACAAAAAAAACCAATCAGTCATACTCTTTTTGTGATTTTTATCTTCATTCTTTCAGGGACTAAAAGAAAACATCTATACACTTTGTAGTAAAACCTCACTTATCTGGCATGTCTAGGAATGCAGTGTGTTTCCACATGATTTAATATTTCTGATAACAGATCGTTATCCTTTCATGTACTGAGACTTCAATTTTAATTATTTTGCATGGAATTTTTTACAATTTTTATTACACACTTTCCTGCCTTCTTAAACTGAGTACACTGAACTTAATTTATCCTGATAAATTTAGATTAATAAGCAGCAAGGATTAGGTAAAACAAAGGAATTCCATGAATGAGAACAGATAAAAAATTGAAATTCACAACTACTTCATACACACAACACCAAGAAAGAAATGCTTGTTACCCTGTAATGATCTTCAGTGAAAGAAATCATTCCTCAGAGGATACATAGGAAAAACAGCAGAAGCACAAGGATCTACTTTATCTTTCAATGAAAACTCTTTGGCCTCTTGCAAGTCCCTGCTCCTCATGGGTGCTCTAAGCCAGTCAATGCAAGAATGGCAGACGGCAGACCAAATCTAACAACACAGGAGAATGTGACAAAATATTTTGCTCACAGTTGTGTTAAAGTATCTTTATACATGTCTATTCACACCTCCTCTCAAAGAATTAATTCAACTCTGCCTGGCATCACAGAAACATAGCCCGTGCTTTCACCATGTGTTATTTTGCCACTTGCATTTGGTTTTAATCCAATACTACTAATATCGCGGAGCCAAATGATTTACGTCTTCAGCATTCCTAGCCCTAGCAATCTGTACTGTATATGGAAAAGTAGTGTGGAAACTGGCAGTTAGACACAGACGCAAAAAGTTTCATGTTTTGTAAAATGTGGAAGATATTAACTCTATCCAATGGATAAAAAAATACTTTTTAAACCCTAAATATTAATAACTTTTAATGTCATACCCAAGTCTTTGCATTTCTTTTGTTATAGGCTGATATTATTTCAAGAGTATGTTGGGCAAAAATTAATTATGCACACATTGATATGCAATTCAAGTGAAAGATATCACCCAGGAGCCCTGGAGAGAGGCAAATTTCTTTCCTTTTCTCAATAAGAAGACTACAAACTACGGATCACAACAGAGAATCATGGTAGTGACTGTCATTGTTTTTTTAATCAGCTTACTGAGATATAATTCACATACTATATAATTCAACCACAGAGTATATAATTCAATGCTTTTTAGTATATTCACAGTGCTGGGGGTAGTGATTACTTTTTAAGACGTTTTGGCTCTTCAGTTTAATGAATTCATTTGTGAGCTACTACGAGATTTTGGTGCATATACAGAGAATACTTAACTTAAAAATTCACTTATTTCCCACTTCTGACAGTCTAGACAAAGCAGAGCGCCGGCTGTGATACTCTTATGGACCCATTAACTCCAGTATGATATTGCTCTTGTCTGACGACAACAGAATCTTAGACAGTTATACAATAGAGCAGTAAAGAGTAAAACTCTAAACGATCATATTGAGTAAAAGGAGACAAATTCTAGTTCCAGCTCTGTTACTTGCTAGCACGATTTCTGCTAGTACGGTACAGGTACAATAGTTATGAAATGGGTCAGTGGTTCCATTATCAGAGGGCCCACATGAATCATCTGTGGATACTGAAAAACAAACAAAAAACCCAGCCGATGCTTGGGTCCACTACACACAGATGACGTATCTAAGAGTGAGGCTTGACCATGTGTTTTGTTTTAAAGCTCCAAGGATGATACAGATGTATTCCCCTGGCAAAAACCACTGCAACCACTACTCACCAAGTGGATGAACTGCCTGGTTGTGTGACCCTAGCAAGTTACATAACTTTTTTTGTGCCCCAGTTTCCTCATGAGTAAAACAAGAATTCCTAAATGCTTCTTGTTCACTAGGTTGTTGGCACTAAACAGGAATATATGGAAATGGTTCTAAAGCAAAAAGGGCAACAAAAATAAAAGCTGAAAAATCCTTGTCATTGTTAGTTATCCTTGTGACTTACCACTCTATCGTATAAACCAGGATTTGAACCAGTTTTAGTTCTTCAGCTGAAGCAGATGTTCTGAGCACCAGATACAACAGAGAAAGGGAATGTTCATTTGTATCATTAAAGTGAGGCCCCTTATAAAGCAATTCTTGTAAAAGTTTCCCTAATATACTATCACTAGCTTAGAGGCTTATATTAATTTAAAAAAAGGGGGAGGCATAATAAGGAAAAGTCTCTTTATTAAGAAGAATGGAGAAATATGTAGGAAAAGGAGGGAAAAATAGTTTCCATAGACATGTTTCCAGTACTTATACTGAGAAGATAACACACAGAGAAAAAGAAGACATTTGAAAACAAAACTACAAAAAAATTTGTCCTACTCAGTTTACATGCAATTCAGATGCTTAAAAGATAATATATGTAAAATGTTTAGAACAGTGCCTGAAACATACTAACTGCTCAATGAATATTGACTATTAATACCTTTTATTCTCCCTCTTCTGCAAAAAAGAAGTCATCATGGTGAAGAGTAAAAACCATGGGTCTGGCAGAGCAGTCCTAGATTCTACGCCCAGTTCTATCGCTGACTGTGTGACCTTTGGCAAGTCACTTATACTCTAAGGTTATGTTGTAAGAAATAATTAATATCAATGGGTATCCATTTCAAGATATTAGAAAAAGTTCAATAAAAGTATAAAGAAAATAATAAAGATATTAGCTGGCATAACTTAAATTTAAAAATATACAATAGGAAAAAACAACAAAACCAAAAGTTGGTTCTTTGAAAAGATTAATAAAATTAATAGATGTGTAGCAAGACTGCCCAAGAAAAAAAGGGGCACAACTTACCAATATTAGGAACACAAATGGGGACACCACTATAGATCTTATAGATGTTAAAAAGATACCCAACTTTATGTCAATAAAGTCGAAAATTTAGATGGAATGGGCATTTCCTAGAAAAACACAACTACCAAAACTGAAACAAGAACTAGGACAACTTAACAGTCCTTTATCTAATAAAGGCATTGAATCTGTAAGTAGAGAACCCTCTCACAAAGAGATCTCTAGGACCAGATTGCGTTATTGGTGAATTCTTCCAAACATTAAGGAAGAAATAACATCAATCTTATGAAAACTCTTCCAGAGAACAGAAGAAGAGGAAATCCTTCTCAACTTATTTTATGAGGCCAGTATATACTTGATACTAAAACTCGACCACAACAATACCAGAAAGGAAAATTATAGGCCTCTCTCTCCTATGAAAATAGTTGTAAAAATCCTATGATATAATAAGAAAAACATATTATGATCAAATTGAGTTTATTCTAAGAATGCAAAGTTGGTTTAACAATTGAGAGTCAATCCACTTCTATAAAATTAGGTGGCTGGAATAAATGATTTCAATTTTTTCCCCAAGTCCTAAAACTTTGTGATACTGATGGTAAAGCCACTAAAGCTGACTGTCTTCCTTTAGAGTTGTCTTACATGCTTTAGCTTTGGAATCTCAAGCATTACTACAGCATTTTGAAGACAAATTTTTGGAGATTGCCCCCCACCTAGGAACATGGTCAATAGATACGGTCTCTATAGACATCAAGATTTTTTAAAGTCTTGAACTATGAGGTTTCCACAGCTAGAAAAATAGAGACAGTTAAGACGTGATTTCTGTAAGGAATGTAAGTGTCTCTATAAATAAGCCTTTCTAATTTGTTCAAGGTACCAAAGCTTGTTAGCACTTGAATCTTTGGTTATTTTTGCTATTAGAAAGAAAGGCTATATTAGCCATTATATCTATATAACTATGAAATTCCATTTAGGAACCTAGGAACCCACCTAGGAACATGGTCAATAGATACGGTCTCTATAGACATCAAGATTTTTTAAAGTCTTGAACTATGAGGTTTCCACAGCTAGAAAAATAGAGACAGTTAAGACGTGATTTCTGTAAGGAATGTAAGTGTCTCTATAAATAAGCCTTTCTAATTTGTTCAAGGTACCAAAGCTTGTTAGCACTTGAATCTTTGGTTATTTTTGCTATTAGAAAGAAAGGCTATATTAGCCATTATATCTATATAACTATGAAATTCCATTTAGCAGAAAAAGCCATGGGATAGGGTATCAGACAGACCTGGGTTTTTGTCCTAGCTTTGCAACTTACTATCTGTGAGATCTTGAATAAGTTGCTTAAAACTTCCAACCTGTTTTCTCACTGAAAAATGGGGATAAAAATAATAGCTCCCCAAGACTAAGGTAAACTGGAGGTAGGGTGATTTACAGGATAAGGAAGGAAATTCCTGATGGTGTTATATGAATATGGCAGACATGAGGATTGAGTGACCATACCTCAAACTTAACATGTCCAAAACAGAGGTCTTGACTTTCCATATGTCCAACTCTGCTCAATCAAGCCTAGGAATAAACTTTTTCTTTTCCTTACCATCTCCAACATTTAATTTAAAGTAATTCTGTCAGCTCTATGTCCAAAATATATCCCTGGCCACTTCTCACTGTCTTCATTGCCAATACTCAAGTCCAAGCTGTTGTCATCTCTCACCCAGATCCTGCAACAGACTTTACCAAGCTTCTGCTTCACTCCCCCTTCAGTGGAGTAGTCACCCAGCAGTCAGGGTGATCTTTTAAAAATGGAAACTAGATTATATCACTCCCTCTAATACCTTCCCACTGCAATTAAAATAGAATCTAAATTCTTTACTGTGGCCTACAAGGCCCTATACAACCTGGCCTCTGCCCACTTCTCTGACCTCACTTATTTTTCACTCCTCTCCCCTTCATTCACTAGGATCTAGACCTGTGCTGTCCAATATGGAAGCTACTAGCCACATGTGGCTATTTAAATTTAAATTAAAATTTAGTTCCTCAGTTACATAGCCACATTTCAAGTTCATAATGGCCACATGTCGCTACTGACTACCAAATTGGATATCACAAAATAGAAGATTTCCATCAGCACAGAAAGTTCTATGGGACAGCACTGATTAGACACATGCCAAGCTCATTCCTACTTGCGGGTCTTTGTACTTGCTATTCCCTCTTCGAGAATACTCTTCCTCAAGATTTTGGGATGGCTGCGACCTTCTCATAATTCAGGTCTCAATTCAAATGAAGCTCCTCAAAAGAACCTTCTAAATTTAGTTGGACCATTCCATCTGAAACAGCTCCCCAGTCTCCCCCATCCCCAGACACTCTATCCCATTATTCTGTTTCATATTTTTCACAGCACTTATGACCATCTGAAATCGTTTTGTTTTGTTTTCTGTTTCTACCCAAGACTGTAAGCCCCCTGAGGGCAGAGACCATGTTTGTATGTTCACAGCTGTATCTCCAGTGACTAGAGCAATACCTGACACAAAGGAAGTGTAAAATAAATTGTTGAACGAAGTAATAAATGAGTAAGTATCTGAAAGAACATGTGTTTTGGAGTTAAACCAACCTGTACTCCAATCCACTTACCAACTATCACATCTTAAGAAAAGTTATTTAATCTCTGAGCCTAATTCCTAGTGTTGTCATGAAGATTAAATAAGACAAAGTCTGCAATCTTCCTTGACCTGTTATTATTAAAACAGCCCCTTAAAACTCAGGACAATAGAGAAACACCAGAAAGAAAGAAGTATGACTCGCAATATGGAAGCACAAAAGTCCTACTGCTTGAATAATCTCTTTTCCAAGTGTGGTGGATCCATGTCTGATTCCTTTACTGGGCTAGGTATTTCTAATATGTGCTCCCGTAATGCAACAAACCACAATATGGTAGCATGGTTCTGGATGATATAAGACAAAATAATAACGCTCTGGCCAGAATATTAACAGTATCTTAATGATAGCTAATATTTTGGGGTCACTTATTAAGTACCAACTATTGTGCTTTTTTCATCAACTTTGATCTAGTTACTACTCTCTCTGAACCTCCATTCTCCTTTCCTTAAGATGATTCCACTAAATTAGATAATTAGTAAGATCCATTTCATTTTAACACTGAGAATTCTTTCATTTGGCTCTCTTATAGAAAACTGTACTTCCTTTATCTCTCCCTAAAGAGTTAGGATCACAAGAAATCAATATTCAATACAAACCTCCATCAAGGCTCCGGGATGCCCGTTTGCTTGCTGTACGCTCAAAGTGTGGGGCAGGTCTGTCAATCAGAGCACTAGCTTGCCTGGTCTGAGCCTGAGTTCGGCCACTGTATCGAAATTTGGATCCCAGTGCAAGAAATTTGCTTTTAGGAATGGTATCTGTAGATGTCAGCCTGGGGGAAAAGAAATACATATAATAATCTTATATATTATCTCACTGTAATGAGACCCTGAGATGAAAGATAAAATCAAGAATTAAAAAATGTTTCACAATTCTCATAGTTTCCTTATAGTTACTAAGACAGATTTCCAGTCAAGCGATCATTATTTTAATTCTATGTCGTTTCCCAAAGCAACATGTATAATTTACTTGTGTCCTATATTAATAATATCTTATATCTCTATAGATAGGGCCTTATGGCTTTCAAAATGTTTTTATAGCACTGTAATATTTTCACTACATCCCTGTAATATTTTCACCATTTTATAGATACAGGAAACTGAAGCTCAAAAAAGAAGTTACTTGTTTAAGGTCATATAGCTGTTAAGATGTTGGGCGGTAACAGAGTCGAAGCCCAGAGCTGTTTCCAGTCTACTGGAATAATAATTTCATCAAATGCACTCCAAACTCAATTAATGCCTGGTAACCTATCTAATAGGTTATTTGGTGTATTTTCAACTCAGTTAGGAACCCCGTCTTCTTTCTCTGCAGTATCCTGTATTCTCTTTTGTCACGGCATTGACTGCACTGAATTGAGACCATCTATTTATATGCCGGTCTCCACTACGAGCCTCTCTAAGGGTAAAGGATAAAGACTACGACTTATTCATCTTTGTGTTTCCACTTCTGGCACAGTGCCTGGCATGAATTTGGCACTCAATAAATGTTTGCTGAATAAATACACAAATTTCTACAACAAATACTACCAAAAAGAGAGCAATTTTTCCCTTTGGGATGGTTTATTTCAATTCAGCAAATATTTACTTTCTGTTTATGTAAAGAAGTATTACATGTTAATATAACCTCTTATTTTGATGCAATGGAGTTAAATATGTTATCCTACAAGGAAATACATTGGCTGCGGCTGAAATCTATACCATAGATATTAAACATTCAAAATAACTTTTTTTTGTGTGAGGAAGATTAGCCGCGAGCTAACATCCGATGCCAATCCTCCTCTTTCTGCTAAGGAAGATTAGCCCTGGGCTAACATCCATGCCCATCTTCCTCCACTATATGTGGGACACCTGCCACAGCACGGCTTGATAAGTGGTGCATAGGTCTGCCCAGGATCCGAACCTGCAAACCCCAGGCCGTGGAAGCAGAGCCCGCGAACTTAAACCACCTCGCCACTGGGCCGGCTCTCCTTACCCGTTTTTAAAACTTGATTTTCTTGGTTTGATTTTAAGGAAGAGGACGATGAAAGCATAAAAAAAAATCTTACTGCCAATAATTAAAATTCTTTAATTGGGTATAAAGTGTACCCTCATGTTTTATTTTGAAATGAGAATTGAAATGTTATTTTCCCTGACATTTCTTTCTGTTCACTGTGTTACAGTGCTAAGCATGATATGAAAATACAAATAGAAGGAAAAGATATCATGGTTCTCTCTCTTGAGAGCCACTCATAAAGAGTCAAGTTTATTTATGAATGAGATGACATGTCATGGAAGTCTGGGATTTGCTTCAAAATAATCTGAGAAGTAGTAGGAAAGAGTGGGTGGGGATAGAGATGAAAGAAGATTGGCCTTGGGGTGATAATTACTGAAGCTGCGTGATAGGTACAAGGGGATTCATTATATTACTCTTTACTGTTGCTATGCATGCAATTTTACTTAATAAAAACATTTTCTTAAAAAGGCAAGCTGATAATAACTAGCTGGTTCTCCTTTCAATATAAGTAATTACTTGTCTAGGGCCTGTCTTCTCTGCTAGACTGTATGTTCCCTCAGGACAGGGATTAGAACTATCTCAGGGTATATTCCCAATGCCTAGTACAGTGCCTACACAAAGGGTAAGCACACAGAAAATGCTTGGTAAGTGAAGACAAGGGGTTAATAAGGTGGCCTCTTGAAAAGCAGAGGAAATGAAACTTTCTTCTGTCTCCTGATTATCTGATACAATTGGGCTTCAAAGATGGTCCTCTGTGCTCCTTTTCTGGGGTTGATTAGAGTCAAGATGACAATCAGCTTATCTTTAACCTTCCAGCATAAAAGCCCCAAAGAAAGTGTAAGCACTGCTTAGAGAAATTTCATGTGGAGGTTAAGTCAGGGTACCTCCTCCTGATAGAACTGATTTTTGCTCCAGTTAGGGCAATCACAGAGCCCCTAGTAAACACAGGTTCCTATGCCTCACTTCTCTCTTCCTTCTACCGTACACAGAAAGGTGCTCTGGGAATGCTGAGGCATGTTTTTAAACCCAAAAGAGGAGAACCTTTTCACTGTGAACAGATTCACTGTCTCTTGCTTAACACGATCTCACCTAAGCTAAATAAAAGAACGCCACTCATACAAAGAAGGGAATTTCAATGGCAGCCTTAAAATAGAAACATGCATAAATAATTTGTCCTTGAAAAATACTTAAGTGAGAACAATACCTGAAAAATGTGTGATGCTCTACACAGACTTTCCATAATTTCTTAGCTGCTCGGTAACTGGGAAGTTTGAATCCGATGGTACTTTCATACTGTTCTTGCTATAAAAACACAAATAAACAGGGGACATGAAGCATTCTTCAACTACAATGATACAGTATCACAGAAATACAGTGCTAGAGAGGACATTGTGAATAAAAAGAATGTTACTAGTTTAAGGACATAAAATATCATTTGAAATTTTTTCCTACTTACCAAAAGAAACTTACTCACTGAGGATAGCTTTTTCTACAGCAAGGAAGCCAGGGAATGCATCTTATATTATTTATGCATCTTATTTTATTCAGAAACACACATACTGCACATTTTTCTGAGCCACAATTAAGTCACCTTTTTTTTTTTTTTTTAAAGATTTTATTTATTCATTTTTTTCCCCCCAAAGCCCCGGTAGATAGTTGTATGTCATAGGTTCACATCCTTCTAGTTGCTGTACGTGGGACTCGGTCTCGCGTTGGACGGAGAAGTGGTGCCTCGGGGCGCGCCCGGGATCCGAACCCGGGCCGCCAGCATCAGAGCGTGCGCACTTAACCGCTAAGCCACGGAGCCGGCCCTAAGTCACCTTTTGATTGTCCAGACACTGCTCTTCCTTAGTCACTGCCTGCATTTGGGATACCGGACTACTCACTGATCAGGGAATGGGATAGCACACGATTCCTCCAACCAATCAATATGATTATGCCGTCATTTTTAGTATTAGGAGCTAAAGATTTTGGCTCAAACCAGATTCTTGAATTATTAAATGTCTTTTCATTTTTTTTTTCCCCCGTTGGGGAAGATTCACCCTGAGTTAACATCTGTTGCCAATCTTCCTCTTTTTTTTTTTTTTTTTTAAGGTGAGCAGCCACCACAGCACGGCCACTGACCGAGGAGTGGTATGGTTGCGCGCCCGGGAACCGAACCTGGGCAGCCAAAGCAGAGCACCGCAAACTTTAACCACTAGCCCATTGGGGCTGGCCCCTGTCTTTTCTTTCTTTTCCTTTGATTGATCACTAATTTATCTAGATATGTCTTTGACTGAAGCAAACCGTATCCTGCCAGTGCTACTGGGAACACTGTCCTGTTAGTCTCTTGCTTCTCTGTTTCTGTCTTATGCACTTTTTATAAGATGGAAAGGAAACTGACATTTATTTCTAGTGCCTATTGCCAATAACACTATGATTAGATAGTATTATCTGTATTTTTACACATGAAGAAACTGAGGTCAGAAAAGTTATGTGCTCAGTCTCACAGCTATTAAGTGGCAGAACCAGAATTTCAGTTTCCACTACATCGTGCTAAATCATCTACTCTAGTCATAAAACTACACTTCTCAAAATCCTACTGTTATTCCTGACTGCTTTCTTAAATAAGAATTCTGCATTTTCAGTATATACTATATAGTTGACATTTAAAGAAACCAAGGAGTTCCCATTAGCATACTAATTAATATTTGTGTGTGTGTATATATATATATTTATTTATTTTCTGCCTTCCTACATTAAAATGTAAGATTGTTGAGTGATGGACTCTTTTATTCACTGTTATATTCCTAGCCCCTAGAATAGTGCCTGGCACAAAGAAAGCACTCAATAAATATTTGTTGACTCTTGGATTTGAAACTCTTTGAGGGAAGACACTGATTTCTCTGCGCTTGGCACAGGTAAATAAATAAATGCTTCACTGATAATCCTTATCCAAGATTTTTAAGGCTGCACATCCAGTATTCCCATGCTCAGATAATAAGCCATTTTTCACCAGCAGATGGTGATATATACACAAAAAAGCCACTTTCCTTTAATATGGTGCTTTCTTGTTCAGAGCATTCACAGCTGTCATCTCATTTAATCTGAAAATCAACTGTGACAGAGGAGGTATTATCTCACTTGAATGATAAGGAAGCTGAGCCTTATATTTGTCCAGGGTCTTTTGCTTAGTAGATGGCAGAGTAGGAGCTAGAACACTTTTAAAAAAAAAATTTAATTCCCACTTAATTTTCTGCTGTGCCACAACGGCTCTTTAATATAAAAGTTAAATTTGGCTAGCATTAGTATATCCTGAAACTTGACCACTAACTAATAACTGAGTTATCTGGTACAAAGTTGAACATCCAACTCTATTAAAAATCTAGAACTTGACCTTAGAACACATTCTCAGTAACCACTAGAAGTTATGCATACAAATAAATTTTAGTTATATTAAGTAAAAGATTGGGGTGCAAAACATGAGTAATTTAACCCCACAATTTAAAAATCTCATGCTACTTAATTCAAAAATATTTTTCCATCAAAATTTTACCTGGAGTAAACAAGGAATAAGTTTATTAATCCAAGTTTCACTTTTGGTTGTGATATATTTACTTAACTAAAAAGAAATGTCCAGACAACCAGTAGTAAGGCATAGAAGAAGCATCACAGGACTGATTCATTTAGAAAACAGAATTATCAGCTCCTGAATAGTTAGCTACAGAGAGACCTCTTAGATGACATAACAAGGAAATGGGAATGGAGATGTTTTAGACATGGTCTGTATTTGATTCAGGGGGAAAGAAACTCAAATTCTGTACCTCTCCAGGCCGAATCTTGATGAAAAAGCTGCTACGTTTGTAAGAAATCTTCAGCACTTTGGGCCAAGGAAAGCGGTTAATTCTCAGCTTATCTTTGTAAACCAGAAGGCCACTAGAGCAGACACCTAGGATGATATCCACTCCTTCCAAGTCCTGAAAAAGAAAAGCATTAGCATTTCAGTCTTGAGCAAAGTACTCAACACATTGTTGACTATTATTAGATAATCTGAAGACATCAACAACCAAAAACAGTTACAAAGCACACAATGAAAAATAAAGCTTAACCTAACAATCATAATCCATGGGGCTATTCGGTCTATGTAAAAACATTGTTACTATACAACATTTTAAAAAATCAATGTTATTACCTATCACGAATATCTTAAAAACGTCCAAATCAGACTCAGTAATTCTATTTCTGTAATCTATTCCAAGGAAACAATTCAAATCACAAAAAAAGCTTCATACATGAAAATGTTCAGAGTGCTATAAGAGTGAAAAACTGGATATAACCTAAGTATCTAAGCATTAGGGTTAAATTATTGTCCATTCATAGAGTGAAATACAATATGGCCATTAAAATAGTTATATAGAATTTGGGAGATAAATGGGAAAATAATTATGTTGTAATGTTAAATGAAATAAAGCAGGATATATATATTTTTACATATATACAAAAACTGCATATACAATTTGATCTCAACAATTTAAAAAATACATAAAAGATGAATATACCAAAACGTTAATAATGGCATTCTTTAGGTGGTACAATTATGAGCAATTTTTCATTTTAGTTTTCTACACTTTCCAATTTTTATAATAAACATGTATTATCTTTTTAAAAAATTTAAATATCACAATACTAATATATATGTAAAAAATTCTAGCAGTGCAGAAGTGTATAAAAGAAGGAGTAAAATTCTATCTCCTCCTTCCACACTTTTTAACAGTAAACAGGATAATTTCCAGGATTATTATCCTATTTTCTAGGCACATACAATTATGTGTAGATAATACCCATATACATATATGTATATGTGTATATACACATATATATATATATATCACCTTTATAATCAGGAAAATAACTAGAAAAAAATTACAATCCAGTCCTCACGGGTGGAAACTATATCTTAATCATTTTTATATCACACGAAATACTGTCTGTTATTGACAACATGCTCTGTGTTTACATTGAGTTTGTTACCTCCTCACATTATTATTCATAACTTATTATGGCAAATATCAGTAAATATCAGTAAATCCTTTGCTTCTTATTTGCAAAAATCTTGATTTATGTAGGTCGATAAATTTAGGAATTTCAAGGTATTTTAGCAACAACATACATTAGGCTTAAACCTTCAACCGTTACTATCAATTACTTCATTTATTATTAGTGACTCAGAGGAAACATCTGCTTTTCTCTTGTCCAAGAAACAATGGACAGGCACATATTGACCCACTGAAGGAACCAACCGCTATAAGGAGCAATACAGCTGCTACCACCACCACCACCCCTCAAAGCCACTGTAAAGCGTCACTGGGCTTATACCTCATCTACCTTCACAACATTCCTCCTAAAACTGAACCCCTGCATCCTCTGAAAAGGCTTTCCTTAATAATCCAAAAAGAGACTCTAATCTACTTTTAACATGCCTGTCTGTACATGAAAATTCTAGGGTAAGCATTCATGTTCTCATTTTGGTCTCCCAGTTCTAAAATACTCAAATCAATCACTGTCATAATCAGCAAATAATTACTACAGTAGCTACGGTAGCTGCATGTCCTATACATGTATGTTTAAAGTCAGCAGACCATATGACTTCCTGGAGGCCAGGGCTTAGGGTTATGTATACTGCCAAATATATATGCACAATGATAATTCTTGTTTGTCTATGATAAAGTGGTCATCCCTCCAAAATTCATAAGTACAGAAGTTGACTCTGTTCCTGTATAAACTCAGTATGAGACGATCTCAGATTCTTTTAATTACTAGATGTTAAGCATATTAAATTATAAATATCCCCAAGTCAAGAAGGATAAGATAAAGCCATATTTATTATTAAAGACATTTTTAAAAATTAAATACATAATATTAATCATCTATGTCTATAATTCAAGGAGAATAAATCTCACCTGAGTTAATCACTACAGATGACTATTTATTTAGAAAAGTAATCAAAACCCAGAGTTAAATGCTTCTAGACTACTCCTTTTCCCAAAATGAGGATAGAGAAACATATTAGTGCCTACATGTCTTATGTATAAGCACAATAGAGAAGAAATTATATACAGCTCTAATTCAATGGCTATGTAACTGAGAATTTCCCAGAAGATGCCCTCCTAAGTTCTTAAAGCCTGTGGGTACAATTACATCTCTCTCTTAATTATATGTTTTAGAGAAATAATTTGCTCTACAACATTTGGGAAAGGAACATGCTGCCTGACTTCTTCATTCATTCCTGATAATTACTGAATTGACACCAGCCTCCAGCAGAAACTGAGAAGCAAAACCTAACAATTTCAGTTCTGGAAATACAGGTGATCTGATCTTCCTACCATCTACTTTAGAGATTCATGGAAATTACAGTACCCAGCCCAAAACAATCCAGAGCAACATCTTAAAAAAAGTCGCTAACATGCAATGAAATTTTATTAGAATTAGTAGAAACTAAAGAGGGAAGAAACTTCAGATATCAGATATTCAGGTTGGGAGAAGCCTGAAAGGTCCTTCTAGTCCAATCACCCACCAGATATTTGAATGTCCTTTTCTAAATTCCTACCAAGTAATTATTTTGCCTATCCTAGAATACTTCCACTGATAGAGAGCTCACTACCTTATGAGGTAGCCACCCTATCTTTGAAAAGCTCTGACTGTTAGACAATTTGTCCAACTGAGCTGAACAGTATTTCCCCATAGTTTCCATTTTATTGGCTCTAGTTTTATATCTTGGAGATGTGTAAAATCTCTACTTCACACACCAATCCTTTAAATACATGAGGACAGATATTATATCTTCCCTAAACTTTCTATTCTATGGGCTAAGTATCCCTATTCCTTTGCTTTTTTCTCATTTGACACCGTTTTGATTCCCCTCATCACGCATCCTAGTTAAGTTCCTCTAAATGAACCTCAGATCATCCCTTGAGCCCTTTCCCTCACAAACTCCTCAACCTCCCCAGCCATTTCAGTAGCTGAAGATGAGAGAAGTCAAGCAACTTCCCTTAAGTATTCATTCTATTAGGTTGTACTAAGCAAAACTAAGATTAAAGCTCAAGTTTCCAATTCCCTAACCCAGTGGTTCCCAAATGAGCCACTATGGTTTATCCTGTGTGCATCAGAATCACCTAGAGAGCTTGTTAAAATAGATTGCTGGGCTCCACCCGCAGAGTTTCTGATTCAGTAAGTTTGCGATGGGGGCTGAAATGTGCATTTCTAACAAGTTCCTAGATGATGCTAACTGCTGGTTCAGAGACCACACTAGCCAATGGTTCTCAGATTCAAGTATGAATGAGAATCATTTGGGATGTTCATTAGGTCTGGAGATTCAGCCTCTCCTCCAAAATAATTCAGTAAATCTGGGAGGAGCTCAGGAATTTGCATATTTAATGAACACCCAGGTGATTCTGATGCAGGTGACGTTGGCTGTGAAACATGCCTTGCTGCCACTCTATATTTTCAAAGGTACCTGCATTTTAGGAAAATCTCATTTCTTTTGCTCTAGGTGCTGTATCTTTTGATTCTTACAGTGGCTTGGATGTGAAACTTCATTCTGATGGTGGAATTGCAAAGGGGCAATTCAATTTATACACTTGATGATACAACTGATTGATTCAATTGATAGACTTAAAATTCTAACAAGAACTACTCTCTGTTTGGAATGTTTTATAACACCCCAGATAAAGGTTGGTAAGAAGTATTATATGACACAGGTTCAACACATGCATATTAATAAAGGCCAAAGTTATCATTACCTTTGCTTTATGAAGGTCAACACCATACATAGACAACTTTTTGGCATTCTCGAGAAATTCCAGGTCAGCCTGAGCTGGAGTCATGGACCTTTAATAAAATAAAAATAAAAAACTCTTTCAGTGTCACAGTGTCAACATTTACAATAATAACGTGTATACTAATTTTACTTTATATAAACACACAAACATATATGTACCAAAATGTACATAGGTATATTTCATAGTCCTGAATGTAGAATATTATAAAAACAGACTCTTCACTGTGTCTAAATAATTGAAATATGCCTTAGAAAAAGAGATACTGGAGAAACAAAAGTCATCAAAAAGCTACCTGCAAAAAAGGTTTTTAAAAAAATCCTACCAAACGATTTCCTTAAAGCTGCTTCATCCACCATCAGTTCTGCCCCTCCCTCTCCTCAGCCTTTTTCTCCAACATACATAAACTCCTCCCACTGATTCTTCTTGCCAAGGAGGTGACCAAATTAAATCCTCTGAGGGCATGGTACAATTTACAATATCCTCTTAGCTGCCTTTTTCTCTCCATACCCCTGAATTGAGTTATTATGGAAATTAAACAGGAGGGCAGCCGAAGTTTACTTAACTGTGGACTCTTAATGGGGGCAGGCTTGATGAAAAGAAAATCTCTGGTAACAGATGGTGTCCTGCCCACTAACCTAAACAAAATAAATTGGTTAATAGAAGCATGTAGCTAATGGGGCTGCTTTCTCTGTTATTAAGATGTCTTCATTACTAGGCATATAATGAATTAGATTTGTTTGAAAACAATCAGTCTCACTGTCTAAATGCTCACTGTGATGGTCTTTCCTTCTCCTTTATAACTTTCCTCTCTTTGAAACGTGCTCATGAGCTGTTATGTTGAGCTTTGAAGAAAAAGATATCACTCCTAGAGTTGCACCATTCAGACTAATCGAATATAACTTCATAGTAACAATAATGCAGCCACACCCCCAAAGAAAACCCCAAAGAAAAACCATGTAACTGCCTAGTTCCCATAAGACTGCCTCAAGCTATACAAAGCAGTAGCCTATTCATTTAACAAGAGAAAGTCTCTTCCAAACCCATCTGTCTTTACTCTCATTAAAAAGAACAAAGGGTTCCGTGGAACAACAGCCAAAAAAGAAAAAAAAAATCTCAAGAGAGAGGCTGAAGATTTGTTACTGACTCAGCCTCCCTGAATAAACTTCTTTTCACAAGTGCTAAACCATCATATCTGATTTCTATTTATTAATGGCTCTGAAATTGAACCCCCCAAAAGGAGAATAGAAAATTAACACATATGCAAATCTGTACATTCAAGTCATTGAAAACATCTCAGGAAAGTTTTGTAGTGTTTTTCCCCCCATATAAGTTATATACGTTTCTAGTTAAGGTTACTCCCAGTCATTTGTTGTTGTTGTTATTATTATTGATGGCTTGAATTTTAGGATTTTGAAGCTGGAACAGAGGCTTGAAGATTACAGAGTCTTTACAACATTTTCATTTTGCTGATGAAGAAACAGGCCTGAGGGACCACATGGGCATGGGCAAGTTATGACTCTTAGTTTAAGGCAGCGGGCTTTAGTCCAAACTCAAGCCACATCACTGGAGCTGGAATCCTGGCTCCCACACTTAAGACCAGGTGTCTCCCTCAATCTCCTAATTATAAAGTAAGAATCATAATAATACCTACTTCTAGATACCAGGATAGGCAATGACTCTTGCCTTTGCTGAATGAATGCATGTGACTAGCAGGATAAAATGAGACAATGGCTGTGAAACTGCTTTGTAAAATATAAATGTTTATTATTATTGCAACCTTAGGTTTCTGATGGTACAGTGGTACATCTACATGCAGCTCACAAAAGAGAAATAATTTTGATCACCTGAATTTGAAGACAAATTTTAAAACAGTAAATGAAGCAATCATGATAAAATCTTTCCCATACTCCCTCCTCCAACTCTAAGGGACATTAATGGGGTCAATTTGAATACAGATTTACATTTCAAACTGTAGTTAAATGCTTTTCTAAGTAAGCATGCTTTAAAATTGTATTAAGAAGACATCTTCAACTTTAAAACTATGGCTTTCCCTGTTAGTTTAAAATAATACCTATATTCGAGGTTTGGCCAATGCTTGCATTTAAAATTTTTTATATAATTAAAAAATTTTTAAAACATACAAACTTAAAAGTTACCTACAATACAAATAATTTTTTCCTGAACCACTTGAGGGTCAACTGTCAACCTGATGACCCATCACTCCCAAATACTTTGGTGTGTAATTCCTATAAACAAGGACATTCTCTTAACATAACCTCAATACAACTGTCAAAACCAGGAAATAAATATTAATACATTACTGCCATCTAATCCTCAGACCTCATTCAAGCTTAGCCAGTTGTTTCAAAATGTTCTGTATAGCAGAAGGATCCAGTTTAGCATCACGAGTTTCATTTAGTTCATGTCTCTTTAGTCTTCTCCAGTCTGGAACAGTTCTTTAATCTTCCTTTGATTTTCATAATCTTGACCTTTTAAAGATTATAGGCCAGTTATTCTATAGAATACCCCTCAATTCGGGCCTGTCTGATGTTTCTCGGTGAGTTAATTCAGGTGGTGCATCTTTGACAGGAATATCACAGAAGTGGCCCTGTGGTCTCACTGCATCCTATCAGGTGGTACATGATTTCCATTTGTCCCTTCACAGATGAGGTTCTTTTTGATTACTGATGTCTGCCAGGCTTCCCCTCTGTGAAATTCCTCTTTATCTCTTTGTAATTAATAAACATTTTGTGGGAATGTATTTTGAAACCTTTTGAATATCTATTCCTTACCAAACTTTCAACTTATTCATTTATTTATATCAGTACGGACTCATGGATTCCCATTTTATTTAATGCAACATAATCAATTATTTTCCTTATTTATTTTAGTGCTTAAATTGTCCCAGATTTGGTCAGTGGGAGCGTCTTCAAGCTAGATTCTGTGTCCTTCTGATCATTTCTCCTCATTTTTTGACATCTCCTTCTGGCACAATGTAGAGTTAGAGTATGTGAGTATGCATGTATGTATGTATATATGTGTATGTACCTATTTACATCTATATTTATTGATTTATCAGAAACCATGAGTTCACACTGAAACCTCCACTTTTGAAGCAACACCACAGAGATCATTTTATTTCTCCCTCTCCATAATTTGTATCTCCTTTTACTGACAGTGAGAAACCTGGCTCCCATTATCCTTAATATATTGACTAATTTGATCAACCCCCTGTATATAACTGTCATTGCTGCCACTGACCCCTCCCCCACGTGGATGCCCTCTTCACCCGCTTGGACTCTAAATCCCCTATGCTGGGCTGCTCTCCACACATGGATGTCCTCCTTATCTCACTCAGGTTCTGACTCCTGGTATTAGGCCACCCCTTCCATGGATATCTTCTTCACCCTGCTCAGGCTTCAACACCCTGTATCAAGCACCACCCAAAATGGATGCCCTCCACCCTATGCAGGTATGCAGGCCTTACCGCCGTGTGGATGCCCTTCTCACTCCACCCCACATGGATGCCCTCCACCCTATGCAGGCCTTACCCCTGTGTGGATGCCCTTCTCACTCTGCTCTGCCTCTGATAACCAGTACCACATGCCTACACATGACTACGCTCTTCATCCTATTTGAGATCTGACTTCTCATGCCAGGCTGGTCCCCCACCCATGAATACTCTCCACCCTCCTTAGACCCCAATATCCCCAGCCAGACTGGCCATCTGCGCGAATGACTTATCTTGCTCTATTCCACCTAATGGCTTTAGAACAAAACTGTTTCAGGAAGCTTTTTCTGATTATAAAAGTCATACACATTCATTGTATACAATCTGGAAAATATCATTAAAAGTAGATATAAAAAAAGAAAATCTCAGGCCGGCCCCGTGGCTTAGTGGTTAAGTGCGTGCGCTCTGCTGCTGGCGGCCCGGGTTCGGATCCCGGCTGCGCACCAACACACCACTTCTCTGGTCATGCTGAGGCCGCGTCCCACATACAGCAACTAGAAGAATGTGCAGCTATGACATACAACTATCTACTGGGCTTTGGGGGGAAAAAATAA